AGGCGACGCGTGGGACGTACAAATGATGGCGGTGGTGATTCGGTTGGCGCAGAGCTCCATCTTTCGCGTCTGTGCGGATCGTGAGCGGTGTGCACAGTGTCGTGTGGGAGGGAAGAGCAGCGGGGTCATCTTCGGCGGCGGTCGCAAGCTTTATTCGTGAGAGGCGAAAGGGCGACGGAGATGGACGTATGCGGCGGCGGCCATGGGTTGCGTGAAGAAGAGAGGGAGGCGGTGGCGATGGCGGTGACTGCCGTGGTCCTCAACTCGGTGGGCGACATGTCGTCCACGGAAAGCCAAAAGCGTTCGCAGTTGCGGAAACGCAGAGCACTGTTGCAACACGTCGTCGAAGCGGCGGATTGTGTGGCGACGTCTGAAGCGGTCCTGCACGGCGCTCTACTCCGGCATCTTCCTGCGGGAAACGCCACGATGGTGGATCAAAAGAAGGACTGGTGGAACTTGGGAGGATCTCCGGTTGTGTGACGACGCGACGGAAGACTACTTCCGCGACAAGTTGCGTATGTCCAGGGCTGTCTTCATGCAGATCGTTGCCGCATCCGCCGCTCACGTCGAGAAGAAGGTCACACATTACAGGATGCCATTGCCCGCAGAGCAGGTCATTGCTTCCGCGTTGTATAGGTGGGCCTCCGGGGATACGTTCGAGAGTGGCACGTCAGCCTTCGACATCGGCAGGGCCACTGGAGTGCAGGCCGTCGGCGATGTAACTTCAGCGCTGTTGAAGGCGTACCCCGAATCCATCAAGTGGCCTGTTGGGCGGAGACGTGTGCAGATACTACGGGCTTTTCGGGAGAAGGGTTTCCCTAACTGCTTCGACGCAATCGACTGCACACACGTGTACATCGACAAGCCCGCCGGCGCGCCGTCAGATAACTACTACGACCGCAAACAGAAGTTCTCTGTTCAAGCGCAAGTGGTAGTCGACTTGGTCTGCGTATCCTGGACGTCCACGTCGGATACCCGGGAAGTGTGCACGACGTCGGTGTCCTGAAGAAATCCCATTTGTGGAGGCACGCAGAAAGCGGCGAGCTTTTCGACGCCCCTCCGGAGAATCTGCCACACGGTGTCGTCACACAAGGTTACCTTCTCGGCGACAACGGGTACCCCGTTGCCTGTCCATGGATCGTCCAGCCGTACGGAGGAATCGAGCAACGTCCTGACGACGAACGTTTCGACACGCGGCAGAAGGTGGCGCGGGCATGTGTGGAGAGGGCGTTCGGGCGGTTGAAGTGCATATGGCGTCTATTCCTGCGCACCCACAAAACGAACTTGGAGACCTTGCCGCAGCAATTCGTCGCCGTATGCACTCTCCACAACATCCTCCTGGACGCGGGGATCGAGTTCGACGAGAACCTGCTGTGGGAGGTGGATGAAAACAGCGTCCGGCATAGAGTGGACTTGGGTATAGTGGGAAACGGCGCGGGCGGGAGGCAACAAAGCACAAACGTCGACGGGGACCTGTTGAGGGATGCACTTTGAGACTGGCTGGCTTTGATGTAGGCGCGTGCAGCTGCGGGGTGTGGGTCGTGAAGAACGTGGGAGCGCCACGTTCGGTATGGCGGGCGACATAGTAGGGCTTATGTCATCGATAATTAGCCTACCGTGGGATGGTCAGTAGTCCGCCTGTTCGCAGGCCAGGGCAGGGGAAGTTGGTGGTTCTTTGGGATGGGAGGTGGCTCAGGTGGGAGTGTGCCGTGGTGCATCGAGAATGGACTTTGGGTTTGTTTTCTGCTTCCTCGTGTTCTCGGATCGCCACCAGTGTGCACTTTGTCGTCCAGCGCTCCATGATCGACGACGTCAAGCTCGCGGGTGCCGTGTGTTGCCATTAGTCGTTGCACGGTTTAGGGTTGGTTTGCGTTGCGCCTCCAGAGGGAGTGCTGTCTTTCACCGGCGATGTCGTGTCGTGTGGCTGTTGTTTAGAGTGGATGGTCTCCAACATTACAGAACGGGACATGCGTTTTCTAATTCATTTTGAGTTGATGATTACCTTGAAGTGCTGGAATGGTTTGCAACGGTTCGTTGTCCATGTGCTTTAAGTTAATCTGAGTTCTGAAGTAGATGATAACGTTGAGAAGCTGGAATGACTTGCCATCATTCATTTATTCACACTTTCCTTTTCCACCAACAAGTGGACCCCGCCGCAGCTATGCTGCGGCCGAAGCGCGGGGGGAAGAGCGAGGGAAGGAGACGGAGGAGGTCGTCGTAGAATGTTGATTTTTTTTATTTTTATTTTTTTCGAGGTGCTGTTTCGTACTCCCTCTCTTGACCCGGCCCTCCTCTCGTCCTGCCGTCCCATTGTTGCCGCTGCGTGCTGCCGGGGCGAGCGGCGATCATTCTCTCTCTCTCTCTCTCTCTCTCTCTCTTTCTCTCTCTCTCTCTCTCTCTCTCTCTCTCTCTCTCTCTCTCTCTCTCTCTCTCTCTCTCTCT